GGTTCGAACAAATTGAAAGCTATTTGTCATAAAAGATATATGTTGATGATATTTATTTCGGGCAAAATAGTTATTTACTCGGTTTAATGACTCAAATATAATATTTAGACAACTCGATTGTAAAGGGCGTACAATGGTTTTTAAGTATGTATATTAGAATGGACGACCAAGCCAAATTTTGTTAAGAGTGACATAAAAATTGCCTATAATGATGGTAAAAATATTAACTTCATACACTTTAAAAAAAATCAGTTCAAACAATTATAATCTTATTGTAATATATATATATATATATATATATATATATATATAAGTGATAAAAAAAATTCAATTAACTGATTAATATTCATGGCATCAAAAAATAATTTACTTGCTCAATATTTTGTATAGCTAAATTCCTCCATTTTTATGTGTTATCAACAATAATAAACATTTTAACTTATTATCCTAAAATCTGTTTTGTTAATATTTTATTTTTCTATTGGAAATAAATGCATAATAATAATAATAATAGGTTTATAGAGTACAAAAGACACAAAAAACACAACACAAGGAACATGTACTCAATAGAAATGCTTTTCTTGTCGAGCATGTTCCGTATTCCATACTCAGCTAGGCCATACCCCACCCAATAAAAGTGGGGCCCAGGTTAAGGAAATAATTAAACAATGGCCACGACCATTCCGGAAGCCGCTCAGAGCTCTCCGAGCAGATTCCAATGCCCGTTCGTGTCGGAATTCTCAAGCGGGCTCAGATTCCAGCCCTAAACGTCGAAGACAGGTGGCATCCGTGTAAAGGAAGATGGGAACGGGTCGCTCCATTGAGAACGAGTCGTTCCCACCTGAGGTGTCGTCCTCACCTCGCCACGTCAGCAATGCCACTTGTCCGCGTTGGGTCTGATGCTCGAATGTCACGGGAGATGTGTGAAAAGGATTTCGTCGTCTTTCGGGAAGGTGTACTGACCACCAACTACGCATTATTCATTGTATGGGTCAATCATGTGGGGTCTTTTTATTACTATTATTATTCTTATTATTATATTATTAGTGTTTTTAATTCGATTATGAATATTCATGTTATTCCATTCCATTGTGTCACGTAACACTTGTGTGCGATGAGACAAGGCAGCAAAGAGACCTCTTTTTGGCTACCTTTTGAAAGCAATGGTTTGACAACAACCATGGGAAATATGTTGTAAAGGAGTGGGTTTGAAGAGAAGTTTAAAGAAAAGAAAAAAATAAAAAAAGAAAAGGTTGTAAATTTTAAAGCCTATGTAGTGGGTCTTTTTTGGGGAAAGAATGGAAGATTGGAATATGTCCTTCGTTTGCAATCCCTTGGAAAGCATAGTATAAATGTAATCCATAAAAAGATTAGATAGTATGCAATGGAATTTGATTATAAGAAGATGTAGCATTGGATTAAAGTGAGATACATATCCTCTGCATGGAATTATTTTTAATGCTGAAAATTCATGTATTTCTTAAACTTGTCATATCTTTTGATTGGTCAAAATATTAAAAAAGTCCTAGTCAAATTTCTCCAACTTTACAGTAACACATCTATATGTAATGTTCTTTAATTTTCATGAGAATAATTGTCAGTTTTTCAAAAATAGAAGAGTGAATAATAATAATAATAATAATAATAACATTATTTTTTAAAATGTTAAAATCAGTGTTAAACTTGAAGTTTTAATTTCTCATTTTTAACTGTAGCCAATAATGTTTTGGAATGTTTTTAGTAATTTAAGAAATTTTAAAGAATTCTTGTTGTTAAAATTACACAACAATATATTCTATCATTCAAGAATAAATTAATGTTACCAATCTAAACTAGATTATAAATTTATTATTGTTATTCCAATTTAAGACATTTAATATCAACAATCAATACAAAAACAATATTAAGAGCATATTTGCAACCATGATTTGAAAATAATGAAATTGTTTGGATCAGGCTTTAGGGTTTAGGGTTTCTACAAAGTTAATATGTTATTTATAAAGTTTGTTTGAAACTTTCAATAACAAAATTATCATTTTATATCACTAATGCAAGTCATTAATTCTTACTTTCTGCTTAGATAAGTCTTGTACAAACAATTTTTATTATTTATTATCTATTTATTTATTTAACAAGTATTTATTGCTAAAAATATTAGTTTTACAGTTTTTAAGTGTTGCAACAAATTACTGATGTTTGTATGAATCATAAGTACAGCAGTTTTTATCATAGTGAATTTTTAATCTTATTGTCACTCATCAAATCTGTGCTGAATGGTCTTTTCACTGCAATGTCTTTGTCTACCAGACTCAATTTCAAATTCAAAGTTGCTTTGTATGTATATGTGTATATACATACATACATACATATCACATAAATGACATATAGTATTTTTGATATAATTTAGTCACACATTGAGTCACAACATGAATGTAAAATAAAAGTTCAGTACATGTGCAAATCTTAGCACATATAAACAATTTCAATTTTTTCTTATCACTCTTATATACATATGTAGAACAAACAAACATCTAATTCTTCATTAACTCTTTGATCGATCTAAAATTTTGAAATTAAGATTCTTACACATTTTCATAACATTATTTATTTTTGTGTAATGAGATTCTTATGCATATTCATAAAATTATATATATAGCTCTTAATTTGATTATTGAATTTTAATGAACTTTGAAACTTTAGAATTTTTCACTATTTAGGTTTTCATTTTTGTTAATAAAGTTTACAGAAGTAATTAAGCATACTTTAATGCCGAGTTACTTACTACTAAACAGAGCATCAAGATTTGGTTGCTTTTCTGCCATTTTATGTGTATAGTTTAATAGTAATAGTATACTAAACCTTATCTTAAAATTTGGAATACATAAGCATACTTTTCTCCTGTAAAATATTTTTTAAATATATTTTGTTTTCATACACCTATATATATACATACTTACTTACATACATACATACATACATACAAACCATGATTTTATTATCACTTGATGTTTGAACTTAAATAATTTTTTAATACTACAAAATTTTGAAGCTATAACACACACACACACACACACACACACACATATATATATATATATATATACATATATTTATTTATTGTTTATGGCATTAATAGATACTACTATTATTGAATGGGGTTTTATTTTTTACACTTGCTAACTAGAAATACTACAACACTAAACAAATAAGAAGTACCCTTAGTTGGTAGATTTTACATGTATACCCTTATTAGTTTTGAGTGCAAGGTGGAATAGCTTGGACTCTTGATGGAAGTCATCTTCATCTTACATAAATGCCAGAAGAGTATTTGTTCTATCAGTTTAAATTTATTTTATAAAATAATATATTTCTATGACATATGTACATATTTTTAAAGAATCTATGCCACGATATTGTTTCAAGTCACTATAGTGTTTAGTAATCTGTAGAATTTCAACATCTTCACATAATGTGGTTTTAAGCATTCATCTAGTCAATGTTGATTAGAACAACATCCTTTTATATGTTTTTTTATCAAAAAACAATGTATCCTCAGCATCATCTCCATATTATAAACATTTAAAAAAAAAAAATGATGATGATGCTGATAATAACAATACTAAGAATAATAATAATAATAATAATAATAGAAGTTGAAAATATTATAACACCAACACATATCTTTACTTTTTTCCTATTCAATGAATTGCAGTTACAGTAAAATGTGAAATTTGCTTTAATTCTTTACATCTTCATCTGCACACAAAGGCCACCAATTCAAAATCGTTTTTGCAATTGTATACTTCAATAAGTGGATAAAGCTTACTTTTGCATCTTCTATTTTGTAGATATGTATCTATACTATACAAATATAAATAAATAAATAAATAAAATATCTATATCTATATATATATATATATATGCAAACATTCTTATCTAGAAATGCTATAAAATAAAACTAATGTCTATCTCAGATTTGTTAATTAAACTCTCTCTCTAAGAAAGCATACCAGTTGCACTCTTTTGGTAATTGATTTGCTTCATCAACAAGCTTTTAATCACCATATTATAAACTAATCATTCGCATCCATTCATCATCCCTCACTTGTCACAATTATTTTCTTCCACATTTTAATATTTAGTGAACACTAAAAAAAGGGTGATTGCTTTTAAAATTCTATATTTAAACTCTGTCTGTAAGTTGACATTCAAAGGATGGGCAAATTCCTCCTGCCGTGTCAGATGAAAAATTGTCTATTATGGGGATTTTATAATATAATAGTATAATGATTATAGAAATTATTCCCTAACTTTATAATTAAATAAATGTTTGAAGAATTAAGAAACAACTTATTATATATATATATATATATATATATGTGTGTGTGTGTGTGTTTTCTTTTTTCTCTTAAAAGAAATGCCTTTGAAATGGGTAGGATATTTATTGTGGATGCACTTGAATCTTTTAGAGGTAGAGAGGGGGGGGGTATCCATGGATATCAACGCATGCCCATTAAATTTTTCTATTACCAATAGATAGATTGCTAGCCACCAAGCAGTAGATGATAAGGATGAACTTGCTTAGGGGTACCCACCACACGATGGATGAACGAACTTTTCTCTCACAATCATTCATCCTCTTTCGTCTTGTACTTCCATTCATTCCTTAGAACATCTTGTAAAACATTGTTGACCCCTACTTAAAAAAGATAAAATAAAATAAAAGATAAAGAAGAAAATATTAATGCGGTGAAAACCTATTTCCTCCTATAGCCGTGTAGAAAGCCCTCACAAAAATCTTTCTACGAGTCCAAGCGACGCTTTGAACAATGGGAAGCCGGAAACGGAAAGAAAAAGACGCACCGGAAAGACAAAAAGGAAGAAAGTGGGGGCAGCCCAGAACGGGTGGCCAAAATAGAGGGTTCCAGAAACGTGGCACGGGTGGCGTCGGTCCGCCCGGCCCGTGGTCGTGAATCCCTACAAAGTGTGCCGGTGGTGTTCAGAGAGGACTTGCCCTACATCCCACGCCACACTTGCAGGACCGTGTCGCCTCTTGACGCGCCCTCATCGCCGCCCCTTTGCCTGCTCGTATCGTGTATATATACCCTCGTCAGGGTGCACTGTGCGTATTCCAGTGTTGTTGTGTGTGATTGTTGCTCTTGTTTTTGGTGCGTCGATCTGTTTCCAGTTTTTCCTCGTTCTCTTAAAGTTTTCCTCCCTCTGTTTTACTTCGTTTTCTTGTGGGAGTTTGCGATTAGGGTTCCGCTCGTGCTTGCGACGCTCGTCACGTCTTCAGATCCGGTGCAGAGGCAGTTCGTCACGTCGGGGTTCATGTTGGACTTGTCGGAAACGGTTATTCCGGCCTCTTTTGGTACGTTCATTTCCCCCCTTATTTTGGTCCTCGTTATGGCGGTGGCATCTGTCGACTGAAGAGGATTTTTTACCGTCGTTTTGGTGCTACGTTTTCTGTCTCAGAAGAGGTGGTTGTTTCTTATTTGTGGTTTTATGGATAAAATCTCTAGTTGTTAGTCCTCGTAGGGATCAACGTACTTTTGAAGAATAGTTAAGGGATTTAGTGGTAACTGGGTTTTTGTTTGGGTTAGCTGTGGAGCTTTGTTGTCGGTTTTCTGACTTTCTGCCCTTCGAATTTGTGCAGATCCATTTGCGGAAGCAGATGTTGAGGATAGTGGAGTAGGTTCGAAAGGAAGTGGATATGTGCATGTTAGAGTGCAGCAAAGGAATGGACGAAAGAGCTTAACAACCGTTCAGGGATTGAAGAAGGAATTCAACTACAACAAGATTCTGAAGGACCTGAAAAAAGAGTTCTGTTGTAACGGTGTTGTTGTCCAAGACCCTGAATTGGGTCAGGTCATCCAGCTCCAGGGTGACCAGCGGAAGAATGTCTCGAACTTTCTCGTTCAAGCAGGAATTGTGAAGAAGGATCTCATCAAGATTCACGGCTTCTAAGCTCGTGGCATGGCTTCACCAGCAGTCGTTATAGAACACTGAATAAATGCCTGAGAAGGCACCCCCGTGGTAGTAACGTATTTATTTTACCATTTCATGGTCGACCTTGAAAGGGAGGACAGATGCGTGTTTATTGTTGACACTGGCACAGTAGATACTTGCGCACAAGATCGTTCCTAACGGTAGAAGTTCTAGTTTTTCAGTTGCAGTGAATCTGTTCTATGTGTGGGGTTAGTGCCTCTTGTCGAGCTTAATGGCGATTATACATGGTAATAAATCATATATTTGGTTATTTGTGGACTACCTCCTACCCTTGTATGCCGCTCTTATTACGTTTGAGGACATTTATCATCACTGACGTAGTTGACGATGTTCTCCGTTTCACTTGTACCCACCTATCCGGAAGCGATATAGATTATGATGTGATTCTTACGTTCCCAGTTAGAAACCCAAACACGTGGTTCGAATTCTGACTCCCACGAGATCTTAGCATCACTCTACGTTGCCGAGGTGAGTGGCTCTTGTTCGACATCAGCAAATTATTTCAAGTTGATGTAATGTGTTAGCCTACGGCTGTTGCTGAAATCCATCGATTTGATTTCGTAACATTGCTATGAAGTGCCGACTTTCGTAACAATTCACATACCATTTCACCATTTGTTCAAGTTGAAACCAGAGGGAAGTGAGATAGAAGAGATCGATGAGTTCATTAGATAGAGCGTGTTTGTTTTTCATATAGGATATTACAATCATTAACACAAGAGAGTAGTACATTATACTTGATCCTTGAATAATTGCCAGCCCTTGGAAGTGAATTTGCGTGGATACATCTTGTAATAAATCTAATGCTTACTATATATTACGTAGTTTTAAAGTTAAACAGTTGTGTGTGCAGTATGCTGATTCTTCTAAGTATAGCATTGGATGGTAACACTAAGAGAAGCAAAATATGTAATGTGTTCTCATGCAACATTCCAATGTGCAAAAGACAGGGTGACATCAAATTTATGGTGTTTAATGTATATATTTATTAATAATCAATATTATATTACTATCCCAAATTTGAAGTGAAACTTCACATTTCACTTGGACATTCTAAAAGGGAATAAGAAAAAGATCAGGCTTCTTACTAGCTTTGCATTTGTGCTAAGACACAAAACATCTAATATATATATATATATACACACACTCAGAGACTATTTTTCTATTGATTTTAAATTTAGCTATTTCTTTTACTTTGCTCTTCTATTTCAATCATAATATACTGTAGTTGAATTTTATAAGAATTATAAAGATTGCATATAATTAAAATATAAGTTAGAAATGCAAGTATAATATTTTATTTTTTGAATAAATATTTATAAATAAATAATAGATAAAATTTATAACAAATAAAAAAAACTAACAAGAAATTGATTAAATCAGATAAGTACAAAATTAACACCAAAGTGATAAGTTAGAACTCCAAGAAATGTATTAACAAAAGACTAAGGATTTCTTTAGCTTTTATCCTAATATATACTAGATATTAGGAAGCTTTTCAAGAAGTTTCCATATTGCTTGAAGATGAAGCAATCACAAGAAACTTCTCAAACAACTTCCTTAATCTTCTTAGAACTTTTTAAAATTTACTAGAATATTCTAAGAATATCCTTAAAATATTATAAAATATTATAGAATATAATATAGTATTCTAAAAATATTTTTAGAATCTTTTGTTAGATGTATATAGTAATAAGAGACTAATGTATTATACAAAATTATTTTTCCAATACTTCTATTAGGATATTAATCTTCATCGTCAAATTAAATTTCATCCATAGAAAAAGTTCATCTATTTTAAAAATGGATGTATAAAAAATGTTGTGTTTCAATCTTCTTTTTGGTGTTGTGATGTTGAAGAGCTCTCTTATAGTTCTTCCACTGCTTCTTCAATTCTAAGAAGGTATGTGATTTCTTCAATTAATTTGTGTTTTCTTGTTGCTTCTTTTTTATTGTTTGTATTATGGATATCCAATAAAAATGTTCTATTAGGTTATAAAAAGTTTAAAAATATTCTTAAAATATTCTAGTAGAAGATTTTAAAAATATTTTAAAAAAGTTTTAAAAGATTATTAGAATATTTCACCAAATTCTAAAAAGTTCTAGGAAGATTAAGGAAGTTCTCTAAGAAGGTTCTTAGAGTTGCTTCATCTTTAAACAACATGAAAACTTCTCAAGAAGCTTTTTAAGGTTGCTTTATCTTTAAACAATAGAGGATTTTTTCAAGAAACTCTCTAATACATGATATATATTAAAATTGAGATTTAGGGGATTTTCAATCTCAACAACATATCTCTTGGAGTTTTAGTTCACCTTTCTTGGTATTGATTTTGTATTGATTTGGTTTAATCAAATTCTTGCTAGCTTTCTTGTTGAAATTCTTCTGCTCAATTTCTTGTTTGGTCTCTTGTATAATATATTTGTGACAATTTATCTAGACTACCTCCTTATTAATACTAGAGCTTGACCCTTCTTGATTGAAAGTGAATTATCCTTTTTCTTGAAGACATTTAAAAGCTTTAGAGATTGCAAAGTATCTACTTCTAAATTGGTATTGTTTAAAAACTTCTTATTCTTTCACCATGCCTAGATGTAAAAATGTCAGTATGGTTGAGTCTTTTGAGTCCAAGTTAGATATTATGAACACACTCAATACTTTATTTTGTAGAATTTCTAAAATTAAGAATTTTTTTATAAGATTTTATAGTGATGCAAGACTTGGAGTACTTCAACTTGTGATGCAACCACTTTTTCAAGCTTCTACATCCAAAGAAGTGAAATAGATTAATTTTATAGTACATTTTAGAGTAGCTTTTTAAAAGCTTCATAGTTGATGTTTTGATTTTACATGTATTTGTAGTTAATTGGTAGCTTAAGACTTTATCAACAAGTTAATCACATATTGGTAGCTTGCGGAACAAGCTAATTATGTGGTGCACATATTAAAAACTTGCCTTGCAAGTTAAGATATGTATCTTACAAAGTCAATATATTTTAGAGGTCCTATAGGACATCGCCACATAGCTTCTAGTTAAGAGTATATGGAGGCAAGAGTTAAGCCTTCTTCACTCTTGTCAATGCCTTTCTAGTCTTTAGTCTTGTTTCAAGACTTTGTAGTTTTTTTGTTTTTAGCAATAGCCATTCTAGTTCAATATTATATTATCTTTGAGTGACTTTTTAGTTCTTTTTAATGATACAAGAGTATATTGAAGATTTCTTTTGTCATGATTCATGTCCTTTACAATTTGAAGAGAGTGCTAACTTACTGTTTTTGCCTTGTTTTAGAAGTGAATGGATTATCCCATTTTTATTGTTGTATTATAGATGTTGTGGACTATCCACCTTTAAATAAAAAATCATGTTTTTTAATACTGATATTTTCTTAAAAGAGTAATTTATCCCTCTTTGAGGAATTTTTTTATTAGATACTAGAGGTTGCAAATTATCTCCTCTAATTTAACTTTTTGAATTCATTTGAGTTGTCTATGAAAGGAAAGGTTATGGATGCTATTCTCAACAGAAGCGAGAATAGATTTGCAATTATTGCAAATCTTCATGAGCTTGTCAATACTCTAAAAGTAAAAATTTCATGTATTTCTAAAGTGAATCATGGAAGTACTATGCCTACGCCTATGGAAGAAGTTCATAGTTTGCGATAAGAAGTTATGCACTTGAAAGAAGTAAGTAGATCAACTTTGCAACCAATTCTAAGAAGTTTTGCTTCTACAAGTACGATGAAAACAAGGATTAATATGCTTGAGAAGTTTGATGGAACAAAATCAAAATTTCAAGGATTTTTACAACAAATCAAGCTCTATCTAAAGTTGCATCTCTTCTAATACTTTGATAGATTTATTCAAGTCGAATTGATAGGCATACTTTTATCAAAAAGTGCTCTTTCTTGGTTTGTACCTTTAATGAAAAAAGATTTACGACTCTTTTATGATTTGATTTGAAGTCTAGAAGTATTTACAATAAAATTCAAAGAAAGTGATCAAAAAAGAGTAGCAGAAACCAAGTTCTTATTTTTATGATAAGAATCACAATCATCCACTATATATATTGTTGAATTTTAAAACCTTGCTTGCGATGTGGACTGGAATGACAAAGCCCTTATCAAACAATTTTGATATGAATTAAAGGATAATTTCAAAGATTTATTACATACAACACCAAAGGCAAAATCTTTAGAACAATTAATTGCTTAAGTGTCACGGACATATATATTTACCTCAGTAGTTACTTATATGATTAAGTAGAAGTAGATAAATATAGAAAAATTTCATAAAGTCTTATAGAGAAGCTTCCTAGAAGCTGTATAGATGTGGTTTTGACTTTAGATGTGTTTGTAGGTTAGAAACTTGGCCAAAAAACTAACCATGTATTGGTAGCTTATAGAATAAGTTATCTCCATATGGTAGCTTGTAGAACAAGCCAACTACGTGGCACATAGATAGATAACTTGCCTTGCAAGATAAGACATGTGGCTAGCAAAGTCAACACATGTAGGAGGTCCTATAGGACATCACTACATAGCTCTTAGTTAGATAGTATATATAGAAGCAAGAGTGAAGCCTTCTTCACTCTTGTCAATGCCTTTCAAGTATTAGACTTGTTTCAAGACTTTTTAGTCTTCTTATTTTTGGCAATAGTCATTTTAGTTAATATTACATTAGATTTTGAGGGACTTTCTAATTTTCTTCAATGATAGAAGAGTGTATTGAGGATTCTCTTTCTTCGAGATTCATGTCCTTAATAGTTTGATAAGAGTGTTAATATATTATTTCTATCTTATTTTAGAAGTGAGTAGATTACTCCACTTCTATTGTTGTATTTTGAAGGTTGTGGACTACCCACCTTTAAACAAAAAATCTTATTTTTTAACATTGATCTTTTCTTTAAATAAAGTGGATTATCCTTCTTTGTGGGATTTATTTTTAGAGGTTGCGGATTACCCTCTTCTAATTTAACTTTTGAATTTGTTTGAGTTGTCTATGGAAGGAAATATAATAGATGCTGCTCTTAACAAAAGTGAGAATAGATTTGCAACCATGGCAGATCTTCATGAGCTTGTCAATACTCTAAGAGTGAAAATCTCACATATTTTCAATGTGAATCATGGAAGTACTATGCCTACGCCTATGGAAGAAGTTCAGAGTCTGTGGCAAAAAGTTGTGTAGTTGAAAGAAGCAAGTAGATCAACGTCACAACCAAATCCAAGGAGTTTTGCTTCTACAAGTATGACATGGA